AGTTCAAAGAAGCTCCACTTCTCCGCTAAGATCGATTGCTAATCGCACTGCTTTTGGCTGACCGTGCTGCCTTGACGAATGAGGTTAGTCGCAATGAGTTCAGAAATCAGAAAGACACATGGCACAGATTAATCATGGATGCCATGCTTAAGCCTTGTTACGAGGCACCGATTATTGCACTGTCGAAATAACTATATCCTTCTAACAGCAGATCTTCCGTTACCTTGCTCATCCATATTTCATGATGACCTCCTTGTCGACGTCTACCTCGCGATGTTCATGAGTTAGAGCAAATAGTTCATGCTCATCTGTACGGAGTTCAACCGTCGTTCGTTTTCCTTCATGCAGAACGACTGGAGCGATCTGATATGCTCCCTGGACGGAGTTCGAGCTTAACGTCCATAAAATGGTACGGTCATAAGGCATTTGTAATAATCAGAGTTTGATTTTCGTGTTGAGCCGTGACTGCCAGCAGTAGTGTGCCAGTGACCTCATCACTGAGGGAGCAAAACCAATTTTGCGCAACTCCTTTGAACTGCATCGCCCGCCGCCTCAATATAAGAGTTCCTTAGCTACTTACTTTGCCTGGCCATCGCCTTCATGCTTAATGCTATGGACCGCTTCTTCTACGGCTAGACGATTTCGTGACATGGTATTCCCACAAAACGATACCAACGCGCATCTAACGGCTGCGTCATTAAAATGATCTTAGATAACTGGGGGGGGGTACTATTTTGGTTAAATTAGGCCGAAAAAGAACGACTTCATCCGGATATTTGATGTCTGCCATCTTACTGTCATCCACTGATTTTCAGGCGCTGTGCGTTGCGTCTTGTCGGATGCAGTCACTGGCCAAGAAGAAGATTCAGAGCGTTGCGAGGAGGAAGACGTGTCACGCACGCACTGCTTCGGCGCGTGAATCAGAATTGAGCCCCGGTTAGGTAACCACCCGCCCTTCTTTCCTCTGAGGGTTATAAATTTGTATCACTCTGAGGAAAGGAAACAGGAAACTAAGCACCATGCTTGTCACGTAGATGCTATCGACCCTGCCTATAAAATAAGGCATTCGTAGCTGATGCCATGGACATGGATGGATGGAAAGAAAGAGAACTGTGATTAGCGCCACAAATCAACTTCGGGAAAATAAGGGCACCAAAATAACCCTCATGAAAGTGTAAGGAAGACCAACGTTCCAATGGCGACGAACCTTCCTCTTTCCTGTTTCTATTTTCCCATCTTTTCTAGTCTCCTCTATAATCGTGGTTTACTGATTCAAATGCTGCTTTTACATTCAAGAAGACCACCTGTTAGATTCTCTGTATAGCTCAGAAGCACACTGGAGAAATGGCTTATTCCCTGTTGGATCTTTCTGGCGTAATTCTGAACTGCTCTGCTCTCCTTTGCAGAAATTTCTGCCTCCAATGGACAACAGAAGAACAGAAGAATACGTCTATGACTGCGAGAACTGTATAGGAGGACCCTGGACATTGTCGATCGTAATATCGATCGTCTCTTTCTACCTCCATTAACACCATTCCGTCGTTATTGATCTGGAAGAAAGGATACAACGCCATACTTGACTCTTTCGATGACCGTTAGTTCAGGTGGTATATTGTTTAATACGTAGTCTTTTGAGAGAATGATTCCGCATAATTAGTTATATTTTCGCCAGTCACCTGATTTGGAAGAACCTGTCAACCTCACCGGACCTCTTCCGTTTGTCGTCCAGCATGTTGCAGCCGTACGTTGCTTCGTGGTCAACTTGTCCCAGCTACGAAGCGGACTTGAGCTCTGTCTTAGTGGTAAACTCATGCAATCGCTCGTAACTCTGACCAGGTTCGACAAAATCGATTTTCGATCACGCACGTGTGTAAATCTCTATTTAAAAGCTTTCGGTCTGGTTGCCGTTGCGACATGAGTCAAAATGAGGTCTGGCCTTTGATTCCGTTCGACTGCATTTGGCTACAAAATCATCGAGACTCATGTTGACAGTTGAAGAGTTTGCTATTTTGCCATCTTGAAAGTAGATCGTCAGAAAAACATATGCCATGTGCCGAAGGGAGAAACTTCTATTGAGCGTCTGGTAAAATTTGCCAAAGACAAATTTCTGTAAAATAATAGGATCAAAAAAAAATTATTACAGAAATGGATATTTTCGATAGAAGCCAAGGTTATTAAAACTGCATTTTTTCAGTACAAATAGATTTTGGCGTGGCACGAGATTCTCCTTTCTCTACTGTTCCGATTTTTCAGGTTCAGAAATGGAAGTCATCGTTAGAGGTTGTTCACAACAACATTTTTTATCATGACTATAAGGAGTATTCTTGGAACCTCGAGTTAATCGTCCACAGGTGTAACAAATTCAGCTTACTATTGTAAATAAAACTTTGTACGGGTAATGAAAAGGCGAGGGCAGAGTGCAGATATAAAAAATATTAAAAAAACACGGTTTGGCTTTGTGAACCCTACTAATCTTTGATCGGGTCGTCGAAAACGTCATCCTGGAAGCTGCATGGCTGATACAATCACTGATGTGCGATAATGACTGACAAATGCTAGTCATATTTCATAATCAATCATTCTTACATCGTGGAACCACTGGCACCTTTAACGTGGTTCTCATCAGAAATGCATTACAGCACTGCTTGACCCCATCATTGTCTTTCCTGGAATATTCTTAGAAACCCAAGGGGAGACAACCAGCTTATGTTAGACAATGCTATCATCAATTCTTAGGAATTAAAATTTCGAATTGATAACAGGAATGCGCGAAGTACAGGGAAATGAATAAGTTCATAAAGATCAGAATTCATAAATCTTGGTTAGTTGGCTATCTTGTTTCGAGGATGACAAAAC